TATCTATCTATCTATCTATCTATCTATCTATCTATCTATCTATCTATCTATCTATCTATCTATCTATCTATCTATCTATCTATCCAGAGTTCAGATTTTTCAGTTTGTTTTATATTTTCTTATCCATGATCAGTTTAAGGTTACATTTCAGACAAAAAACAAGGACGTACAATTATTTTTTGAACGTGTATATTTCATATATGTGCATCCATTGTGTGTGTAAGTTTAAATCATGGTCACCTGCTTTTACTGATCAGTTTTTAACAGTTCATATTATGCATTTGAAATAATAAAAATATAAATGTAATATATTGAAATATCGAAGCCCTCGGTCATATAGGCAGCCTCACTGCCTAGTTTCATAACTTCGGTGCTTCAGAGAGCACTAGAGCTTGCAGACGCAGGCGGCAGATCTTCTTCACCTCCGCGATGCCGCGCGCACTCTCCGCCGCGCGCTCGTTCTGAAGGCGCTCGGAGAGCTCGCTCAAGATGCGCGCCTTATCATTCATCCGAGCGCAGATGACAAACGGGAAGCCGAAGCGCTCTTTGTACTTCTCGTTGAGTCGCGCCATCCGCGATGCCTCCGCCGGGCTCAGCTCTCCCATCCCAGCTCGGGCTTGTTCCTCTTGGGACTCCCGGGTCAGCGCACCGCTGTGGAGGTCCCTGCCTGCGAGATCTGGGTGACACCTGAGGATCCCTTCTTTACCTGGACACACATAGACTGATGATTTCTTACCGGATGCAATATTTAGATATCTAAGATACATGAAGCCAAATCATTCAAGCTCACCCGACTCTGGTAAAGCATCGATGAAGTCATTAATTTCAGCTTCTAAAGCATTTATGCTCATAAAGGGATGGCTGGTCCACACAGCGGCTGTTATTAGAGGGCATTTTTCCACCACATTTCCGAAAATATTCACGAATTCCTCATAAGAAAGAGCATTTACAGCTGAAATGTCCATGGTTTTGTGAGAACAGTTTTTGCATTGTTTTTTTGTTTTTATGACCTTCGGACACTTATCAGGTTAACGCAATGCTGGACATTCACCTCTCAAACATCGGATATCTGGCGACACCTAGCGGTCAATAGGAGAATTATAGGTCTGATCTTTTCATAAAAACGCATGGATTTCAAACATTGTTAGGTTATATTTAAGATTTATCTACATTTTATCTTACTCTTACCTATGGATAATGTATGTAATCAATTTATCTTCCCAGTTAAATTAAAAACTATGGTTGTTGAGTCTTACTTCAGCACATAAGCCACAAAGCACAATAATTTTTTTATTTTGAATGTTTCTATAGAGCAATATCTGTTAAAACTAAGCAAAGAGTGGAGGTTTATTATTAGGGTTAAATAGTTAAATAAAAAAACAAACAAACAAAAAAAAAACAATCAATTGTTTGCGTTGGGGAAGATTCTTATTCATTAAGGTCAGCCATTTCAAAATTAAGAAAACTTCAATAAAATAACCAAACCACTGGACTTTGTTTTCCAAGTTTGAACACATTTCATTTCAAATCCAGGAAGCCTTTTTAAAAATTTTGTTATAAAGCTTGGAACTCAACGCTAATCCAGACACTTTGAATTGAAAAAGCTTCCTGGATGGGAAGCAAAAGTCTTCAAACTTAGAAAACAAAGTCCAGTGGATTTTTTTTTCTTTTTTTTTTTACTTTTCTGGAATAAAGTGTTAGCTAATGATTTAGAGTCAGGTTATTTTTCCATTTTTAATCTTCATGTTATCCATAAATTATAAGCAAAAAAATAAACTGCACATAAAATCTTTACATTAAACCTTACACCAAGAACTAACACTCATTAATGAAAATGCAACTTTTAATAGTGGCATCTAGCTTACTTATTCACTGGTAGCCTGTAAGTGGTTGATCTAATTCAGATTTTAAATTTTTGTATTGAGAGAACATGTTTCACCTTTATCTACTCATCCCTGGAGATTTGACAGTTGATATTATTCATAATGACTGACTGCAAAAAAAAAAAAAAAAAACAGAGAGTAAAGTCAAAGAAATTCAAAGTATTAGACTTTCCTGATACCAAATACCGTAGTTTAAATTTGCTTGGCATCAGGGTGCATTCAATCAAATCAATGCTTTTACAAGCTTTAATAGCGCTCGCTGAAAAAATGTTTTAGGCTAAACTGAAATCAGAAATAGAATAATAATTATATTTATTCGTGTAAAACAAAATTTGTACTTATTTCAAGTATACATTTTGAAAAAAAGTTGTATTTCCTCAACACGATTCTAGAGACTACTTCCTGGCCCAGAAGTAAAGTAGCAGTTTTCTGTACTGGCAGATGGCACTGTTGAAATAAACATAAAGGGGTCCAGAACTGCTTCTCAACTGCCGTCTCTGAGTTTGCAGAAACATATTTGAAATTGACGCTACAGATGATATTAAGAAAGTTAGTTAATAAATTATAAACAGTTTGACAATGAACACATTGAAATAAACCTAACTTAATCCCATCTCTGTCCACCTCTCCTCAGCATGCCCAGAGACAAGAAAAAACAAAAGCATGTTTAGTTATTTTTACTGTTGTAGATCAAAAAATATGAAAAAAATAAAAAAACAGGAAAGCATAATTTCACATGCAGTTACCCACTACTGAAGGGACACAAAACTGAAAAAACATGAATAATAATAAATGCAAAAAAAAACAAACAAAGACATTAAGATCCCATGTTCAGCCTTAGAGAAGTTTTAACTTTTTTCTCAGTTTTAGACCTGATACTAGTCTCGTACCTTGACCTCTGTAAACATGCACACTTATTAGTCCAAAAAGGAGAAGAATTTTCTAAGTGTTATTTTAATATGTTAATACACAATATGTAAAAACAAAAGTTCTCATATAACTTTTAGAAGAATACAAAATCTTAAATCTATCCTTTTTTTTTGGCAAACATGTTTCCCGGTTAAATGTACATTTAACATAATTAAACTTATAAACAGACTTAATTTGGCTTAATTTGATTAAGCTGTAATCAACTCCACTGCGTTAATCATTAAAAAGACTCAAACTCACTGCAGACCCAGAGATTTGAATTGAGAACGCTTCCTGGAGGGGAAGCGAAACGTCTTCAAACCTTGGAAACCAAGTCCAGTGGATTGTTTTTTAAACTATTACTAAAACTATTACTATTTTAAACTATTATATGACTATGACCTGGATGACTGACAATCTTCATCAGCATATTAAAAGTGCTTGTTTAGTCTTTTTATATCTACCGAGTACCAGGTTCTCTTTCAGAAACTCCCATTTATTGTCAGATTAGAGTCTTTGAAGGTGATTTAGATGCAGTTAGGGCTGGACAATAAATCAATATATATATATCGTGATAGACACCTGCTCAATATCTATGACTCTGATAAAATTTGTAATAATTGCACCGAAGTCTAATCCAGAACCACGTGGTTTCCATGGGAATGGATAGAGATAAGGAGTTAGCCGCTCAACCCAAGTAAACACCTAAAGTTAGTGGTAGGTTACACATTTTTAATGGTTAAAGGTTATTTAGAATATATAAAAAAAAACTAATCAATAAATGTTGCTATGGACTACTATGAGTGGCTTATATCTAGTTGTATCATCCAGCCCTAGATGCAGTCGTTGTCATTAGGTCCAACCATGTGGATCCTCTGCGGCTGAGGTTGGTATTGGGATCTCTGTTGGAAACAAAACAATTCATAGTTATTTTCTTTGATGTTCATACTTGTGTCCGCTCTGATGCCATGTATGATCCATACCTTCTTCTTAACGTAGTACAGCAGCGCTGAGACTAGTAGCAGAGCCAGGAGCATAAGGCATATAAGCAGCCATAAGAGATTACCACCAGAGGGTTGATCAGCTAAAACACATAAACATGGAAATAGTCCGCTGTTTTTACCTGATTTAATCAGTTAGGAATGTGATTTAATAAATATCATTTAAGGATTAATTAAGTATTTTTATACTGAATTGATTGAGCTTGCGTTATCTCTGGGCGGTTGGACCATAAGCGGCTCCAGGTTCACTGGTTCACTGCACCAGTTTCCAGCTTTATTAGTCAGGCAGAACTTTACTTTCTTCTCAGCCACTTGAGAGAGCTTCAAAAAGCTGTTAAGTTTCTTGTTACAGAAGCCATCAGAAGCTGTGTGGTGTTTCTCATGAATCACTTCCCAGGATGAGTTGGTTTCAGAGCTGCAGTAAAAAAAGAACACCAAGCTTCATCAACCAGGCCTGCAGATGTATCTGAGCTGAGCTGCTTCGTATCACTCTTACCTGTTGCTGAATGAGCTGGACATCCATGTAGTCTGTGCTGGCAGGACACTTATAGTCTCAGCAATAAAGTCATCATCTTCTCGGCTAAAGTTAAAGCTTGGTTTGTCTGCAAGGAATTGATCTGATTATAGTTGTTGCTATATGTATGACAGTTTTAACGTTTAGTTTACCTACCTACAGCACAAACTGCTGTTCTCTTTGTTTCTTTTTTCCCTCCAGCCTCCAGGTGTAGCATATATACTCCTGACTGGAGTTTATTACAATACTTCACAGTCCTGAGAAAATAATGCCATAGTAAAATGATTTAATAGATTTAAAGAAAGTAGAAATTAACAGTTTTTGATTGTCAGTGTTCCTAAAACGGCTTCAGCGATTTGTTAAAAACATGAAGACGGAAAACAAAATGCATCCTGGAATGTAAACACTTCTTTTTTCTTTCAGCCAGTCATCTATAAAACATTGCTTGATGCGGGTCGGATTTTAAAAACAACTTTAGATCAGGAGAGGAGAGCAACAGTTACTATAGAGATCACACAAACCAACTGTTTGCAAGGTTTAGTTTATTGGAAACAAAAAGAGAAACTATATAAGAGTTAATCTCATTTCTCATTTTGGTTTGAAAATTAAAAACTAGAGATGTCCCGATCCAGGTTTTTGCACTTCCGATTCGATACCGATACTGGCCGATACCAGCCTATCCGAGCATGTATTTAAGTTTAAGTTAAAGTATTTAGCCTTAGTTGTAAGACTCATGTTGAAAAGGGTTTTAGTACTCTTGATAACATCTAGCCAGCTAAATTAGGTGAGATTGAATAAAACACAATGCTTGGTAACAACAAACTTACCTGTTTATTAAGAGATAAACACAAACTGGACAAAATTACGAATAGCAATCTGAAATTGCACAGTGAACAGTAAAACCGTAAACAGCTAAAGGTGCAAGTATTACTGTAAGTTTTAATAAAAATGCAAAACAGGGAAACACTGGCGCAAAATAGTGGAATGGATCGTTTCAATCGGCGAAACTGGAAAATACGGACCAGATTTTTTTTTAAAAACTGGATCGGCAGTCTGGATCGGCATTTTACATGCTTTGCCGATACGCATTTTTTTGCCAATATCGGCGTCCCGATCCGATACGTGGATCGGATGGGACAAGCCTATTAAAAACTGGTCTGTTTTTTTTGTTTCAAATAAAAAACAACAAAAAACAGCTTGAATGGACATTGACCATGTGGTCTATTTTGATGCTTTTAACATTGGCTTAGCTGCTTATCTGGGACAAAGCCATGCAACATGATACAAGAAGCTGTCCAATGTTGGTCACCCAGCAGTGAATCATGCAAAGTCAGTGAGTGGATGCAATCTGCTTCCCTTCAGATGGCATGTGCTGTGAACTGGTGCTTTATGAAATCAATCAATTAATCAATCAATCCACTTATTCCTTAATGCAGTTGCAGGGGGGACTGGAGCCCATCCCAGCAGTAAATGGAGAGAGAGGCCTGGTACACCTTGGGCAGTCTGCCAGTCAATTGGAGGGTCACACAGACCCATGCAAAGAAAGATAACCACACAGTCACTCCTAAGGGATTCAGAATGTCCAATCAGCCTAACCTGCAGGTTTTTGGACTGTCGGAGGAAGCTCGTGAAACCATAGAAAACCCATGCATGCACAGGGAAAGCATGCAAACTCCACCCAGAAAGGTCCTGGTTCCCCCTGGACTGAAACCCAGAACCCTCTTGCAGAGAGTCGATGGTGCCAACCACCAAAGCACCCTGTTGCCCTCTATATAAATACTAGTATGAATTAAAACAGAAATAAACTTCATATTTTTCTCCCTGACCGTCTTCTGTGTTTCTTGGTCTTCCTGGTGCCGTATGTTCACAAATGTTAAAAGGTTCTCTAGACGGATTAGAAAACACATACCCTTTTAATAATTTGTCGTTTTTTTTCACCTTTTGTGATTTTAAGTTTTGTTACTTCTGATAATCTCTGTTGATGATCCTGGTTGAATATAAGGTTCAATGGGGTAAAAAATGTTCTCATACAAACCTGTGAGATCACAAATAATTAAGAGATAGATTAAAAGCAGTCAATAATATTTACCAATAAGTTGGCTTCTCAGGGATCATTATGTCATTGTAAATAGCAGTTTAACTAAGAAAAACAATTTAAAAATATGCAAAAATAAAATTGATAATCTTCATTGCATTGTGAAACTACCTGTCATTTAACATCCTCTGGTTCCTGCTGCATTTAGTAAGACTCCCATCAGGAGCCTCCCAGTAGCAGTGATGGAGCACAGGGTGGTAGGAAACTTCTGCTTCTAAGCAGGAGCTGCTGTGATTTACAACAACCTGGTCAGGCAGCTGGGAGGATAGAAAGCTCTCAGCTGATGAGACACAAAATAAAAGAAACATTCTTCAACAGTAGTTAATTATCTGTTACATTTAAAAAATTATAAATATTTAAAATAAACAGTTATAATTCCTGGAGAGAGCTGGTACTAACTTGTGACATGGACATCCACAGATTTAGCTGCACCTTTTGAGTTGTTACAGGTGTATGAGCCGTTGTGCTCTATGGCAACTGATGCTATGAAAGCATACAGCATCTCAGTGCCATAGTGTTTATCCTTTATAATTCGGTACTGGAAGAAAAACAAACATTTAATCACATAGAGGAATTTAATGTGGTTTAATTTGATTTATATAATATCTTAAGTCATAAAAACATCAGTACATAAACAGCATAAGCTCATGCTACATTGGATCCCCTTGAGGCCTCCTGTCCTGTTCAGCCCTGGCTGGTTTCCAGCACGGCCTACTACTGACCTGATCCTCTTTAAAGTAGTTTTTCTGGGACCGGTTGAGTATTTGTCCAACATCATACTTGTCAAGTTGTTTATCTCTTCTGTACACGCTTTGTAGTTCCTTTTTAGGTTCTGTTATATACTGATTTAGATGCAAACTAATACTACAACAGAAACTATAGTTTCATCAGTATACTGTACCTTATTTGTTTTATCCACCA